CAGACCTTACACAACAAGCCCATATGAGGCTCAGATGCAAACTGAGAAATGATACCAAAAGGTGAATATCATTCCTTACAAAGGAAAGAAGTGATTTATAATGCTATGTTTTGGGGCTAGAACACAGACATCTCCCATTAGTCGTCCACAATAAAACTGTTATTTTTGAACTATCTGAAAGCAATACATACTAGAAACTCTGGCAAGAAAAAGAAAAGTTTTCAGGCCTGCTTAAGGCAAGAAGCTAACTACACATTTAGGTATGTGCAAGAAACCTTAATCACAGAAGTACTGAGCACCCAAGATCCAACAAAAGTCACTGACAGCGATGAAGTTAATAGACTGTTTGGCAGCTAGACTTTAACATTTTTTGCCTTTTAAAAAAAGGAAGCCCATGGTCCACATAAGTTTACAGTTAACATCTACATTCCCCCTTGTATAAAGCTGCATGTTGCCTGGTTTTATATTTAGGATCATTTACCATGCAATATGATTCTATAAGATACAGAATACCCTGCAAATTCTATCAGGGGGAGTGCTTACAAAAATGAGTTTCGATTTAAACAATTTCAAAATGAGTAAGTTCTGAGACTCCAAGTGAACCTTTTTGGAAGTTTGAACATCTTAATTTTTTTTACCATGGTTTTTGCTTGCTTGCACTTCTTCCTTTCAGTCTTTAATGGATTTTGTTTCATTAGCAATACATGAAGCAAATAGCATGCAGGGCTATAATAAATTATGCTTTTTAAACATGCTGTGAGGCCAAAATTCTACATGTCATCTGTGCAGTTTCTCCCCAAGCCTAATATGGGAGCAGCCCATGAACATAAGCCCTGCCCTGAATCCTCTCACTTCACTCAGTCAGATCTCTTTCCTGAACCCACACTATTTCTCCAGTTGCAGGTTCTGTAACACTATTGCATACCACACATTAAACAACCTAGGCTGTCATTTACTTAGGGCTTAATGCAATAGCGCAATTAGGCAAAACTTGTGTTGTGGTCATTAGGACTTGTGTTTGTGTATGGAATGTCCATTCATTTTCCATTTAGACAAACCGTTTTCCGAGCAAAGACTGAAATGGTTTGTTGCCCCTAACATTTACAGGGTGTTATAAAAACATAAAATCATAGCTTCGAAGATTATAAATCCAGAAAGGACCATTTTCATCATCTAGTGTGACCTGCTTAACATAGGCCAGTGACTTCCCTGAGTTAATGGACTATGTTCAGCAGGCTTACTAGAATGTACCGAGTTGTAGCTTATAATGTAAGGTCCTCTGTACTAGAAAGTCAAAGGGAGCAATTTTGGAGAAGTGTGATTGTGCCATCCACTCAAAAATAAGGAGGACTGTAGAAGCACTGTCCAACTAGGAGGCAGGTTCTTGCTACTGAACAGCATGGCCAGACAACCTGCCAATGACTATATCCTATCAATCTCAATCTTACAAATAGCCCCCACCTGCTGAGTTCCAGTCAAATCCAAATGGAGGATGACAATTCCATTTCATAGCAATTTTTGAGGAAAATGCTTTTTGAAACATGTTTCCTAGATTAAACACTTGAACTTTTCAAATTAGATCCTGCTCTGAGCATGGGGCCCTGGAGCCCAAAAATCAGAGGTGTAACATGGAAGACTGTACCCAGGGTGGTCCTCTCATCCTTCCCTTCCTCCTCCCCTGTAACTTTTGGCTTCAGTATGTGCTCAGGAGCAGCAACAAGCAGCGGGCACAGGCACTCTGTGTCATGGAATACAAGGCACTCTGGGAATTGCATGTCTCTAGAGCAGCAGTGGAGTTTGCTGGTGCAGCCAGGAGGTGTGGGGGGAAGTAGGGGGAGAAGGGGAACTTTCATCCCATTTTTTTTTGACTGTGTGCACCCTGCACCCTTGCTCCCAGATCTCAAGCCCACTGCCCCTGCTCTTGGATTCCCTTCCTTTCCCATCTCCTGGAGCCTATGCCCCTACAACTTGCCCCCCTACTCCCACTGTTGCACCCCATAATTCCCCCTCTGCCATCAGAACTGCATGTCCCCCCTGCCAGCAGGCTGTCCCACAGGGTTTGGCCCAAGCAAAAACTCTGCTTGTTATATCACTTGTAGGGACCTGTGGCTGCTTTGCAAAACTACAATTCCCAGAATACCTTGCACTCTCTAACACACATTGCCTGCATTGGATGTTACCTGCAGCCAGAAAGTGCAGGTAGAATGAAGCATAGGAGGGTAAAGAGTGCCTTGCCCATCCTTCTGGAACTCTTCCCTTAGGTGGCATTGGGGCATCTGCCTTGAATGACTACCCCATATTATACTACTACCCACAATACTTTATTGAAGCCAGTACCTCCACATATTTCAAAAACATTACTACCAGCTCTAGTTCCTGTAAAGCTCTCAACAGATAGTAAGACTACTTTCTTCTGCCACAATCCCCAAGAGAGGCCACCACTGACAATTCTAGATGTTTTTCCATAAAAGTACATCCCATTTACATATCTGCCTTTCCTGATCCTAGGTGGAGCAATGTGTGGCTCTTTGCCTAGGTCAGTTTCTTTTTGCCATCACCCCTTCCATAAAATCCAGTAGGACAGCAGTAAATTAATAGGCAAATAATTCCTCATCTAAGATTTGCAACACAATTTTCAAGCACATTTTTCTTAGGTTTTCTTTGGGGGAGGGGAGGGAAAATATCACTGAAAAAAATACACCTCAATAACTGTACAATAAGGAACCCTGAAGAATTAACAGTCTAAGTGGCAAGTCAGTATGAGAGGAGCTGGAAAAGGTATGGGTGCACATATGGCACCAAGAAGGTGTTAAATGACAGGACTTAAAAAATGATTCACAAGATGTTCCCCGAATATTCCAACCCAAAACACAAGCTGTTCATCAGCAGGCCCTTAGAGGAAGTGTCCATGTACAAGGAAGAGACTTTGTTCTTATTTCTCACCAATTCTGTCTCTCTCTCTCTCTCTCTCTCTCTCTCTCACACACACACACACACACACACACACACACACACACACACACACACACACACCCTCCTAGTTCAGTACAACAAGAGAATTAGCTGGCAATATAAAGTCCAAATCAGGCCATTGGTACTTCATTAGACAAAGCTTTGTGCATTAAAAGCAAATAAAAAGCATGGCTAATATTCAGTATTATTGAGAGTTTACATTTATAAGCTTAAAAAGAGAAACACCAAAATGACTGATCCTAATGCACTTCACAAGCTACCATGCTTAGGTTTCTGGACCTTCTGGTCATATAAGACAATTTATTTATTACACAGTTTCAGAACACAAAGCAACTGAATTACAAATGAAGTCAATAGGTTCCATAAGTATTCGGTAGTTCTGGAAGTCCCAACCTTAGGATTTTACATGACAGAGATAAAGAAATAGCTTTACATGGTTGGGGGCCTGCATTTTAGTTGACATCAGTCAAGCAGAATTGTGTTGTTTAATGATTTAAGTATGGATACCTAGAGAATATGATGGGAACCCATTTAATGCATCTTTTATAGCACTGCTAAAATGCAAAACTGTAGGCATTCAGCCTTCAATTGCCCCTTCTTCCCTGCTCCACACACCTTCCTCATGACAAGGTGATCTTGGTCTGATGAAAACGTAGCAAGCAGTGGCTGCCTCAGTCCTTATGTTCCTGGTGGGGTCTGGAGCAGCTGAGCAAAGATTCCTGCCTGTTCCTCAGACTGGGGACCCCAGCGTGAGGAGTGGGAGGAGAGAAGTAGGTGGCTGCTCCTCCCCTCCTGCCCAATCTTTGGATGGGCAGGTACAGCTGGCCCCAACAACTTCTCCAGACTGGTATAACCCTGGTCTCTAGAAGTTACAGGAGCCTTTCCCCATCACTCGACTCCTCCCAGGACCAGAAGAAGGTAAATAGCAGCTGCTCCCCCTGCCTTCCCCAGACTGGGATGACCTTGGTTTCAGAGGACATGAGGAGTATTTACCAGTTGCTCAGTAACTCCTAGTACCCAGAAGGAATCAAGTAACTGGAAAGTTTGCACATGTTGTTCTTCCAGGAGAAACACTCCCAGTAGTAACTTCTATCAGGCTGGAAATGGATAATTTTTTTCCTGGAAGCACCAGTTTTGTCCTGGGAGAAAATTGTGGTTTCTAATGGGAGAGTTGCAATTCTGCTAGTAGAAATGTAATGCCTATATGTGGTCTATATGTGGAGTAGAGGGCATCAACAGGTACATATCTTGCAGGACACTAACTAGAGATATAAATTTAATAGAGTACTTTGGATCAAATTCTTACTTAGGCAAATTTCCATAATTTATTTAGTGTCCAAACAAGTCAGGAAGGATCTCCATCTTACAAGCCCCTTTCAACAGACACATTTCTCTCTCTTTCATGAAGCAGAAGTGAAGTTCTCCCAGGTCCTTCTACAGAGAAAAAAACCTGCCCCACAAAAAGCATTAGAAGTTAGTCTGATGAAAAGTTTGCTACTGAGGTTCCTCAGTTTGGGCCTACCACTGCACTGTCCCCTGTGCATCACTTCATCACTTCTCAGTTCCCACCTTTCACAAATAAGAACTATTGGACATCTTAACACATGCTCTAGGGTGGAGCAGGGCGGGGAGGGGGTAGACACTAATTAGAACAACTCTTGGGAGCTCTAATTAAAGCACATGCAGCATCTCATGTATTTAGCATCCCATGCTTCAAAAAGGTAGTGGGGGATGCTTTAACTAAAGTTCATTCAATGCCCCTATTGCCATTTTAAGCATGGGAATGCTGAACACATGCAACACCAAGGCTGCAAATTACAGACTCAATTAATAGAGTCTGCTCCAACGTGTTCCACTGATGTGATCTGTTGTATGCAATATAGCCATTTTTGTTGCATTCGTTGTCACATATATCTAGCCTTTCCGTATGTACAAGCACTTTGAAGACTGGAGAAAATAGCACTTTACCTCCTATCACTCTGCTTTCAGCAAATAACAGCAAACAAAAATATGAGTTCAGCCAACAGCTCCTTCCAGCAAAGCCTCCCTGCTTCATGACCAACTCAGCTCTTTTGCTGAATTTAGAGCAGCAGACAGAAAGAGGAGTGCCCCAACAAAGGACTCAAGGCCACAACTTGTTCCTGTGTTCCTTGTTCCAACTCCCTCACCTCAGTTGCATTGAGCACAGACAACATTGCCTTGAGAAAATAATAAGTTTTACTGACATAGGTTATAGCAGTGGCCTATGAAAATTATTTCAATACACATTATGTAGACCCCAGTTTATTTTAATGAGGAATGATGTCTCAGGAGGGCTACTGCATTTGTGTATGATTATTCTCCTGTGTTGGAATAAAGGACTATTTATCAGTAATTGTTTACACCAGCTGTTCATATTAGCGAAGCCTCCAAGGACAAAACTGTGTTTGGGGATCAGCATGCCCTGCCAGAAAATGGTTGTGACAATACCTGCTCTAAAAGGTTAGACGGAGCACAAATGAATGAACAGAAATAATGAACTGGATGATGATGCAGCCAAGGGGGTATGCTTGAGGGCAGATAGGAGACTACTGCATCTAGGGAGTGTGAATTCTGAGTTGGGTTAGGCCATGGCAGGAGAAAGGAATCTCCATGCAAGTGTGCAGGTTTAAGCTGCCCTGCAACACAAATATAAAATATAAATCCAACACCTCTTAGAGCCTGTTCTCTACACCTGGAAGTTTTTATTTCAATATTATTGATTTGATGGGGAGGTTGTCTTGGAGGCATATCGGAACACAGAATCTCCCAGATCGCCAATTCAAGTCCCCTACTATTGCCGGAAATCACACACATCAGATATTTATATTTCGTCAGCTATTTAATGTCCATCTTTAAATTTAGGCTTATTGTCCTCAGGATTACTACTAGAAGACTATGCCATAACTTCACTGCTCATGTGGTTAGGAGCCCTCATATAGTTCCTAATGTACATTTATTCATGAACTGCTTATTAGGGCTGTGAGAAGTTTCAGGTGCTGATTTGATTCAGAGGAGATTCGGCCCAATTCAGCAGCCGAATCTGAATTGAATCAGGAGAATAATAAAAAGGTCCAAATCAATTTAAAGCTCTCCAAATTGATTCAGAAAAAAAATCAGAGGGCTTCAGAGATTCAGGTAGTCCCCACTTGCAGCTGCAGGGAGCTGGACCCAGACTTTATGCTGGTAAAAAGGGGGAGGGGACCACAGGGGGCCCCCTGCCAGGTCCTATCCCCTGCCTGCTCCCCCAGTCCCCCTAAGAGCCCACTGACCCCTGCCTGCTCTCCCAGCCCCCACATGGCTGCCCTGCCTGGCCTCAGCTCCTGGTTCTTATAAAAAAAGCTCAGCACTCAGCGGCTGCTGCCAGGACAGGGGGGAGGGGTAATCTCTGCCACAGGCCCCCACCCACTCTCTCAGCCCTGTCAATGGCTTCTCAGCCTGGCCTCACCTCCCAGTTCTTTAAAAAAAAAAAAAAAAAAGCCCCGCACTCACTGGCTGCTGCAGTGGCCATTGGGCTTCTGGAGGCTCGTGGCAGAGCCCCTCCACGCAGCATGGGGCAGTGGGGAGCAGCAGAGATTGCCCCCCACCCTCCTCCTGGCAGCATCTGCTGAGTGCCTAGCTTTTTTTTGCTTTTTTTTTTTAAAAGAGCCGGGAGGCTTGGGCTGGGCGGGACAGCCATTGACGGGGCTGAGAGAGCGGGCAGGAGATGAAGCCTGTTTGATTCGGAGATTCGGCCAATTCAGCAGCAGTCAAATCTCTGAATCAGATTTAGATGAATCAATTCAGGACAGTGATTCAAATCACTGAATCAAATCACTGTCCCCCAAAATCAGCTGAATCTGAATCCAAAGTGAATATTAGCTGGTTTGCACAGGCCTACTGCTTATGCTCTGTTGTCCCTGTGCCAGCTGTTCTCCCACCCAACATTTGCCACCTCAATATATACAGAGAACAGTCCTATCCCCTCACTTAGCTTTCATTTTCCCAGGCTAAATAAGCCAGGTTCTTTTAGTTTCATCTCACAAGACAGGGAGCCTATTCTATTGGCCATTCTAGCAGCCCCTCTCCACATTTGTACTGTGTTCTCTGGAATACAGAAAGCCAGAACCATATGCAATTTTCCAAATGAGGCCACACCAGTGCCTTGTACACTGGTATTAGTATTCCCCTATTTGTTGGAAATGCCTTAACGAATACATTGTCAGCATCCTAGGACTACATTTGAATTTTTAATGAACACATCACAGTGATGGATAATCCTATGATCAGCCAGTCCAGCCAGGCCTTTTTCCTAATGATGAATTCTCAGTTTCCAGCAGAAATTCTTATTACATGACCTTGCAATTTGTGCTATTACGTTTGATCTCATTTCTATTACTTCAATCCCAAAGAACATCCAGTTCTTGTGTGACATTCCAATCCTCCTCTGCATTGACAAAACCTCCCAAATATGTTATGAGCAATTTCATTAACATGCTCTTTCTTTTGGTGCCAAAGTCATTAATGAAAAAATTAAGATAAGACATAACCTTGACAAGCATCACTGGTAACCTTTGTCAAGTCATATAGTTCCTCTTTCACCATAGCACATTGCCTCCCTATTAGCTAGCTCCTTATCCACATTGAAATTCTAGAACAAATACCCATTTTCTCCAGATGAATAAACATTTCCCATGTAGCATCATATCCTATGTTTTACTGAAGTCTAGATAGCATGTTCCTAGCAAAAAAAGGAAATGTAGTAGGTATAATTTGTCTAAGCAAAGAAACATTGGATTAGTTTGGCATGCAATGTTCTACCTTTGGTAAATCTCTGCTGCTTTTTATCCTATTTTCCATTTACTTGTATAACTTTAACTAATCTTCTCTTCAAAATCTATTCTAAAGCTCTGTGTACTATTGAGGTTATACTATGAGATGTGCAGTGTTCTGGTTCATTTTTCTCCTCCCCACGCACCCAGTTTTTAATTTATGAGTATATGTAAGGAGGTGCAGGCTCCAGGAGAGTCAAACAAGAGCAGCAGGTAGACGGCAGTTCATAGGCTGGGAGTCAGCTGCAAGTGGTGTTTAGTAAATGAGAGTAGAGCCACAGAGAGGGTTAAAAGCTCCAGGAGCAGAGCACAAAAGACAAGAGGGGAGATTGTGATACTGATGGAGAAACACAGCTTGGGTTGCCTTTAAATTCTAAAGGAAGACTGCATGTATCTCTCTGTCATTTGCACACATTGTTTTATTGTTCAGATCACTATTATTCTTGATACCGACAAATATCCAGCTGACCAGTGGAAATGCTGAAAATGTCCGCAGCTTCCAGAATGTCTATATATCCAACTTATAGTACTACTCAGGCAACAAACAGGTGGTTAAAATGCAGAGATTTTCCAAATGAACAGTAAGCTGAAATGTCATTCAAGCCTCCTGCTGTTGAAGACAACCATATCAGATATTTATATATCATCAGCCATTTAACGTCCGTCTTGAAACTTAGCTTGTGCCCATGACTTACTGAAAAGCTATACTAAGACTTTCCCAACCATAGAAATTTAAATTAGCTGATAAATTACACAAGAATGGGAAAGTAAAATTTAAAAATATATATTTGGATGTACAGACCAAACAGTGCTAAAAAGAAACAGGCTAGGGATAGATTAGGTGTATTTTCTTTGGCAGGAAATGGACTTGTTTTGGATGCATTTTTGTTTTCTTTTGAGACTTGGAGAGCCTTATTTTAGAAGAAATACTTTTGTGACCACTTCTTTATACACTTATAGATCGGGGGGGGGAGAAAAAGGAAAAGGGGTGGGCCCTGTGCCTGTGAGTTAAAAAATATTGTTCCTCCTTGTGTGAAACTACCTTGAAGAGCCCATGGTTGTGTTAAGCAAAGGCCAGTAGTCTAACTACTGGTGGGGTGAGGTGGCACCAGTCTTGGGGGCCAGCTCAGAGGGAGCATCAAAATCACCTGTGGGAGTCTTTGCCATGCCAGGGACAGCCCTGCACTGCCCTGCCTGGCCACAGAAACCAGGCAGGACAACACCATGTGATGCAGTGTATCCAGAGGGGCAGTGGAGGATGAGTGTAACAAGCAACAAGCAGAATAGTGATCCCCTTCTTGGGGGTGTTTGCACAGCCCTGAACCAAACATATGTATAGGGTGGGGAAGGAGGAAGTGGGGCACCAGGGTTGGCTCCCAGACATCCTGGCTTTTGGGTCGCTGTTTGAGCAGAACTGATGCTGCTACAGCAGAAGCGGTGACAGCAACACCAACAGCCCAGGAAGGTAAGCCTTCCTTTCCCCGAACTCCTGTTCCCCCATTTCCAGCACTCCCCCCTCCCACCCTTCCAGATGTACAGTGGCCAGCTCGCTCCACACCCCTGACACTCATGGAGCTTGCACACCTCTAGCAAAGGCTCATGCTATACAACATGGATCAGTTCAAACTCCAGTACAGAATGAGGCAATGCATCCATCAGATTCCTTGGATCTTGGCACCTCTGACACTCTACTCACATTGATTAAAGAGAAGCTGGCCGTGGAGAGGTTGGTAACAAGCCTGTACTTACAATGGACTAACTTAATGGTGGCAAAATGACAGAGACAGTAGTGTGATAGCAGCTCACAGGATTCATTAGAAACTAAAGCTTTTTGCTAAAGAAGAAAAAAACCCAGGAATTAGCTTCAAACAAATGGTTGCCTAGGAGACTGGTTACAAAATTTCCCCTTCTTTCATTTTACACAGTGTCACCATAACTATGACGGAACCAAGATTTTTCATCGCCTCTGGTGTTTACATAACAGCTCTGCTTTCAATTGCTAGGTGGATTAATGCTTTGCAATAAAATGCAAGACATTTTTGTTTTAATGAACTATTTGAAGTGTAAAAGTGATTTCCAGAGCTGATCCTCAGAATGACAACTCACAGCCTGGACTCATTACACAAAAATGTATCACACCTGCCCTTATAGGAGGAAAATCAGTTATTTGCCCATAGTTTCCAGTAGAGATTCCCAGCTTCTTCAATCT